CCTTTTCAAAATCACAAGACGTGGCATTCTCCACGCTTTTATTAACTACAGGGTTAATTAACGGCCTACACTTATTAACTGGTTCACTAACTTCTGTGGTAGGGTTTCCTGACAAATAACAAACATTTGCGAGATCGTTAATCCTATTCCCTGCCTTCAATTTATTTTCATTTAACTTATTATTGAGTTGAGCTCTCAGTCTTTCTAACTCAAATTCCCTAGCTAGTCTACGTTCCTCGAATTTCTTAATTTCCCGTTTTTCACGTTCTTCCCGTTTTTCCTCCAGAATATCCTCCAACAAACATTTAGCTACTTCTTCAGTATAGTATTTACTTTGACAGATTCTCTTCTTAAATTCCATCTTGGGTAGAGTAATATCAACTTCTACCTCTAATTCTTTTGCAACTTCTAACAATACGTCTTTTCTTTCTCTTAACAGAAACGCCATGATGCACTAATGCACACAAACCCAAATCTAAACTTAATCGTTACAAAAATTTCACAAAGACTCAAGGTAACCTAACAATACACTAGACCTACACTTAACTATATTTTACCCATATGCGCAAATCTAAACACAAATAAGCTACACATCAGTGTTCTCCAATTCAACAAGTATAACTACCGTATACTAAAAAATTTCACAAATCTATAACCACAACTATACCCTACACAATACTGTGCGAACAAAACAAGTATAACTACTGTATACTAAATTTCACAAATCTAAAACCACAACTCTAATATTGCACATTTATACACTTCATACAAAACTTAAAAATCTTTCTAGTCTCTTATTGTTTCCTAAAAACTTTATCTAGTCTTTATATTCCTTATTTAAAACATTTTACATACAAAATCAATACTCAGTTGCTGCCCCGAAAATAATTCCAATGAAAAGACTCACCTTCAGATTTGTAGAGGACACACAGGAACACTCAGGACTTCTGGCACTTGACACTTGGAAATCTGGGAAAACGGCACTCCTAACGCAGGCAGGAACGGGAGATGCTTGAATCCTATACTTCTCACAGCTGAAAACACCAGGAAAACATCTCATAGCAAGCAATTCCAAAATACAGGCGGGCACACTTCATCACTAGCAGGAACGGGAGACACTTGTATCCAGCACTTCTCACAGCTGAAAACACCAGGAAAACATCACATAGCAAGCAATTCCAAAATACAGGCGGGCACACTTCATCACTAGCAGGAACGGGAGACACTTGTATCCAACACTTCTCACAGCTGGGAACTCCAGGAATTAGCCGTCATTCAATTCGTCTCATCACAAACGCACACGGCTGGCATTTTTTTTCTCTTCACTTAAAACTAAGGATTCGGGCATCTATTTACTTAAATGCCGGATCCCACCGCTGCCACCAATTTAGATCTTGCTGTAACGTCGTCAGAAGGTAGCGTGAAAATAATACATCACAGCAAGGTTGTGGGAGTAAAAAAAAATACTTTCCTCCAATAGGATAATCGATTTAAGTTAGTTTATGAAGTTGATAGTCTCTGTGCCTAGCCAGTATGGCAGCCCCGTTTTGAGGTAGCTCTCTCCACAGCTTGTCTCGGTCCAGTCCGCAAGGCGTTTTTTCTTATTCGCGTTTTGGATTCCTGGTCAGCATCACGGAACAAAAAACTCCGGGATTCTCCTCTCCGCTTCCTAAAACGACAGCGCTCGTCTTTTTGAGCTCCTTTTTTTTCTTTTTCTCCTTCCTTCCTCCCTTCTCCCGGTTTTTCCAGCCTTTTAAAACATCAGGGGCAGTCCATTTCTCCCCCTCACGTTTTCTCATTGGTGGGCCCATATGAGTCGATCCTTGAACCTCAACTCATTAGAGCCCATTGGTCCATAATCCGCCAATCGTCCACTCACCCGGTTTCTTCACAAACCAGCAGGTGTCTGACACATGCTCCGACGGCCGAACCCCTTCGGTCCACTGTCGTCGTTTTACCGCCTTTGAGGACAATTCGCCATTGTGTATGTAAGGCGACAGTCAACTGCCTCGGAAGCGATCTCGTCCACAGTAGAATTGCCAGACAATTGTTTGCCTAGTCTAACTGGCACCAAAGTCCAGACGCTAAATAAGCAATAATGAACCCCAGCTGCACGTGCACCAAAACTCAGTCTAGTATTGTCCTGAAATAGTATTGTCCTGAAAGAGTGAAACTCGTTTCGAAAGGAGGACGTCACAAAAGAAAAATTGCGCGAATTAGTGTCAATAAAAAAGATGCTAATATATACTTTTCTGATTCTAATATTCGGAATAATTCTTCTACCGCTAATACTTAATATGCTGTCAATAATTCTCATAGTAGATCAAATTGAAGTTTAAAGACTTCTCTTGTTGCAAATATACGCGTTTTATTAACTACAGTAACAACATTCTTTATAATAAGTGGAACCTTTTAATATTTTACATCACAGGCTAAGTAACTATGAATCTGTACTCCAACGCAATTAGCCTTATGTGAATAGATATGAAATGGATAAATTCTTTGTAGTTCCATACTTTTTAATAAGTATTTTTTTATTAAAATATGATTGGATGGATAAACCGCTTAGGGTTTCCGGGACCTGCTCGAAAAATGTCAAAGTTAAGACTTTTTGTTTATGGGACTTATATCTTTAAATAATTCCAATAGAACTTAGATTTTTTTGTGATCTTAATAAAGATATAGTTTAATCATTCTATAGAAATACATAAATAATTATTTAGTTCAAAAATTTTTTTGTTCTGTTTAAGTTGGAGATAAGTTTTGAGATCTCATAATACATTCTTATGTTTAGATGCCACTTTTTAAAAAAGTATCTCTTATGTATGTAAAATATTTTTTACTCACAAATAAAATAATACACAAAATAGAGAGAACCTATTTTTTTAGTAAAATATTAAGATAGTTTCTTTAAAAAGTTATAAATCTTTGTGATTTTGAAGATTTTTATTTTTGGCTCATTTTTCATACGTAAAACTATTTTTGTTTAAAAAAAACGATGTACTACTTAGACTAAAAGAAATAGATTCACTATAAGCACAGGTACCTTGTATAGAAGTATAAAAAAATTTGGAACTACTCTATATAGTGTAATAGTTTTTTTTAAAGTGGCAAAAAATATACTTAAATTAATAAAATTATGTTTCTTGTTAATTAAAAAAAATTACGTTTTTTTAAAGGCAAAAAATTATAGTTTGGAAAAAAAGTGAAAAAATTAGAAGTAGCAATGTTTTCACATATCATACCATTGACTAATATTTTTCTGCCTATTTTTAGATACCTCATAATGATACTTTAAACATTCTCTAGAATTACGAAAGTAATTTTAAATTAAAAATTTTTTCCCCTTTGTTATCGCGGAACATGAACATAATTTTTAATCAAACATACGAGTATTTTATAATTTAGGTACCGTTTTTTATAAAAATATTTCTTGAATATACAAAATCTTTTACGTACAAGTTTTTGATAAAATTATTGAATAATTTCTCTGAAAAAACTGTAAAACTTTGAAGTTTAGGAAATCTTGAATTTTTTCCTTTTTTCTTATGTAAAAATAGTTTTCGAAAAAAATTAGACATTAAGAGATGAAAAATATTATTATTTCTTTTAAGTAAAAACAAAATAATGGTTTACATACATTAAACACAAGAGGAACTATCTTTTAAAATGTGTCAAACGTGACGTTGTCGTGTGTGTACATTTTTATCAATGACGTTTTTCATGTTTTAGGGTTATTTTATCAACGAACACATGTAAGTGTACATTTTTAGATTCAGAAAAAAATGCACTATTTTTTAAACCTAAAATTAAAAAACCTATTTTTTAATGTGTATGATGTTCTCTGGTTCTCTTAAATAAACATTTGTATTGTGTCTCAAATACTTCACAATACCACATTTGAGAAATCTTTGCAAGTCCATACTGGATAAATAGAATAATCTGTCAAGTTGTGTGATAAATTTATCAAGGCATAAGTATTTTGTAGACACTAGGATAGGGGTTCAGGGGAAGGGGGGTCATGGACTAACAAATTCTTAGTTTTTATCATTAGGAACAAACACCTCTCGCAGCTTTTGTCGAAGTGTTTTTCAATTCCTTCTTTTAGTTCACTCTCTCCCTATATATATATATATATATATATATATATATATATATATATATATATATATATATAATATTCCTATTATATTTCTGGAAGATTGGTAATATTATTGTAAGACGCGGCGAGTGGATGTTCTTACTATAGCGAGCCAAAGATAGGGCGTGGCCGGTGGTGAGTGATTGTGTTACGTTGAGCATGGTCGAGTAGGGTAGTATCGAAGAGGCACTCATGGAAATCGGAATTCCTTTTTTATTCACATCCACACACAGAAACACATAAAGATCCAGTAGGGACGGCATTACGCATACAAGAAGCTAACATGGACGACACAACACAAAGACACACACAGAATGCGCTGTAGCCGGCTATATGTCTACAGAGAAGCGAGCGAAGAGAGAGAGGTTTCCAGAGACATCGGCTTTTATACCTGACGTTGGAGACCACATGACATTTTTGTAATAAGAGCTCTGATTGATTACAAGGGGCGGGAAAGGGATTTATGATGTAATATTATTAGTCGATTACGATTAAAATCAGGGTGTTAGTTTCGAACCAAATAATTAAAAGATTATTTGAATATTATTAAAAGAGTTACTTAAAAGATGCTAGGGGGAATTATTACATATATATATATATATATATATATATATATATATATATATCTTGTTCAAATTTTTAATCGTTATATCTTGAAATTTTTAATCGTTAATGAAATACTTTCTATTCATCCATTCAAGTCCAAATACATTTTTTTAAACTTGTAGTGGATGACTCTTGGTGTCAATTCTGTTTTTCACAAATATAAATTCATTCATTAAATTAAAAAAGTAAATAAAGAGTAACAAACAAAAATAGTAGCCCAACAGCATATACAGAAAGGAAAATCGTTCGTTGTGTCCCTGTAGCGCAATGGATAGCGTGTAATGGACTTCTAATCCAAAAGTCGTGAATTTGAATCCCAACTGGGATGGCCTAATTTCTGAGAATGTGATTTCTTTTTTACATTATTTATTTGCATAGTTTTATTTAATTAATGAATAAATAGTAACAAAAAATAATCCAACACCCTATATAGAAGGGAAATGGAAAATTGAAAGGGAAATCACTTTGTATTTTGTCACCTAATTGTGTGATTCTGTCATATGTATATGCATATTTATATTAATTGTAACTATTTAATAAAAAGCTACTAAAGTAAAAATTTCTTTGTTGATCTAAATAGGAATTGACTTAATTTTTTAAGAGGACTTGGTACCCCAAAAATCACAGACCTATCGTTTTTTTTTAATTTTCATTTAATCTTATTCTTTGTATTATTATCTTTCGATTGATTTATCACTTGTGTATGTCGGAAAGTTAGAAGTTGAATACAACTTCATTTGAAAACAAATTAGGCAATTCAGCCACGCCCCCTTTTTAGAAAAAAAGCGTTTTGATTAAAAAAATATATTTTATAAATAGAAATAATAACTATAAAAAGAATGTGTAGTATTAAAAACAGAATATTTCCGAGGCAATACAATAATGTAATTTTTCTTCCTTGTGAAATGTGTGCATGTAAAATTTTTAAATTAAGGCATTTTATATTAATAATTTTATAATTTCAGTTCTTATTCCTGATATATTTTTCATACAAATGTAATACTTTAATATTATAAGAAGAAAAACAGCTAAAATTTCTGTCGTGACAGAATTTTTTTTTTTTTAAGTTTTTCTTAAATTTTCTTGTGCAATTAGTACTCTCTAAAAGTTGATCATTTATAAAAATGTGTGGGTTGAAAACATATGAAAATGCAATTATTTTAAAGAAAAACGTATAAGTAATATCTTAAAGTGGTATTTTAAGTTTAATTAAGCTTATAATAATTATTTTTTCTGAATTATAAACTTTAAAGTGGTTTTTCTCAGTTTGTGTTTTTCGAAACCTTAGTGCATTCAAAATGCTACTCCTTCGACAATTATTTACCAATCACTTCAATTTTTTTCCTGCGTGTTAAAAATAAAGCATGTAATAAAATTAGGGATCCGTTTTGCTATAAACTGAATACTTTTTTTTTAAAAAAAATAAAATGTAAGACAGGATGGCTTTTTCGTTGATTTTTAGCCTGTATATCAACATTTTATTTTTTTTCTCGAAAATGAATAAAGTTATTGTAAAATTAATCCCTAAAGTTGTTTAAAACACCCATAAGAATATTATAAAAAAATTTCAGGTCAAAAAATTAATTTTTACAAAAGGAGTAGGATTTTAAAATTTTCTTCAAGGAATTTAGAAATTGTGTGAATAATATGTGAAAAATTTCATCTCGTATCATTTTCTTCAATAGAAACATTGTATAAAATGCTAAAATATAATTTTTAAATACATAAATAAATAAAGTTGCTCAAAGGGTACCAAGTACTCTGAAATATATTATTTGCTTATAATAAAACCTCCATATAAGACAGATATGTGTACGCTGTTGACAGCTTTAGTGGTTAAATTGTCTTAAATCCATTGGTTTTTTATTTTTTGTCTAGAGTTAGAAAAATCGATCTCATAGAAGGATTTTATTCGGTTTCTTAGATATCTACTTTAAAAAAATCAATAATATTAGATTTGATTATTTTTTTTTTTTTTGAAAAAACTGAGTTACACACATTTTTGTGTTCCACATTGTAAATAAAAACACAGTATTAGACAGCTTTGTTTTATTACTCATAATCACAGCAAATAAGTAAGTTCATTGCTGAAATATTTCAAACACATTAAAAGGACTCTACATAAATTTCATAACAGCATTTGCAAGATACATTTTCATATATTTACATAAACATACACTCTTCCATTGAAGGCATTATTCACTTATTTGATACATTTTCAACAACAGTTCACAGAACCGAATTCAAAGAAAATCAGTATTTTTTTGAAGTTTCAAACGTTACTGAAACATTTCTCGTAGCCACACACTTTTGAATGCAATTTTGATTGATTAATTCGAATCAAAATATGGGAGTTACAAATGGTGATATAATAAATAGAAAATTGAAATGAACAAAATAACAGTGATGACAATTTAAAAGCTTTCATTACATTTTGAATCTATGTATTGTAACAAACTTGTATCATTACATGTATGAGATAATGCAATATAGTTGCATTATAGCTGATAATGCATTATAGTTATCTAAAAATGCTTTATATAGGTAGCGATATCAATTTAATTTTTTAGAATATGTAGTTAATAGTTCTCTCCAGGATTTCGGAAAGTTGTAGTAAAAAAAAAAAAGCTGAATACAGAAAAATAAAAATGATAATTTAAAAAACCAAAAAACACGCCTTTGTTGTAGATCGCATTTTGTTTCTGGTATTTGTAATAATCATCAGCGTTTTCGTTTTAGGATTGTAATTTAATCTTTTAGTCGCCAAATCTGGAAATGAGAAATCATTAATTCTGACGATCCTGATCAGGACAATGGAACAAAATTACTAAATTATTGTGTTTGTCATCGGTCCTTGACAAGTGTGCAAAATTTCAAATTAATCTGACCTTTTAAAGTGGGCCAAAATCGAGTTTAAAGATTCCGTTACATACAGATGTAGCTAATAAAAGTGTTTTAAAAAAAGTACACGAGAAAGAATACAAAAAAAAGAGTAAGTTTCATTTACATATTTTACGGGTGTTCTGTATGTGAACTCTTGGTCACACGGCATACTTCTTTAAGATCCAGCTCGCACGATCATGCGTTTTGTGCGGGTTAGACATTCTTATTCTTTTAAGACCTGAAATATTTTTAGTTTAAAATATCATATTCTTTTGGTTATTAACACTATACTGATCCCAATGATATTGGGAAAAAAGTTCCAGCACGAATTTTCTGGCTGGGTCTTTTAGGGTTATATTAATGCTATAGTCCAGTTCCTGCCTCACTTTTGTCAACATGGTACACCAACGTTATTGACAGCATGTGGTATCCTTTCCTTGTTATCCGAAAACTTCGTCTTTTACATAAGACCGAAGTTTTCGTACCCCTTTGCCACGTAGTGTAGGAGAGCTGCATGAAAGGATAACATGTGCTATCAATAACATTGACAGCACCCTGTTGGTCAGTTTGAGGCAGGAACTGGACAATCGCCAGATACGTCTTAAGGCATGGGTCAACTAGGCCCGGGCCCAAGGTCTCGTCTTCAATGGGGGCCTCGTTTAGTTCTCGACTCAATCTTAATATGATCATGATCCGGATAATTTTAATGGTCAAATATACATCCCTTACATATTCTCCGAAAAAGCAGGGAATTTCAAAGGGTATGGTCAACTGGCAAAAGTGGTAAGACTTATATAATTATGCGATGACCGTTAAGTATGTCTAGGCCTAGATCTAATATCCTGTATCAATGATATAGGACCACAAGGCTACAGGGGTCCCAACATGTGTAACTACAGTACCCCTAACATGGTTTTATTTTAGAAAAAAAAAACCATGTTAGGGGAGGAGTTTTGATACGGGACATACTCAGAACTAGCTATGCCAGTGTCTAATACCAAAGGGGAAAAAAATCAACTCATTTAGTCGAAATGTGGGAATCGGTCAAGCCGGTTTGTGCCTAGGTTTTCGAGATTGTGAATCGTGCACATTTATTTGTTTCAAAATATTGTTTGAACGAGTATTTGACAATGAATGTTGTGTACTGTCTGTGTGTCTGTGTGTGTGCTTCTGAAGACGTCTGGTAAGGCGTACTTTTGCATAAGGGCCCAGGGTCTCACATAATTTTCAAATTTCTCTGGACTCGGGCCTCGTAAGAGTCTTAAGACGTCCCTGACTATTGCATTAATGGGTGTCATGTGACCAAGGGTTGCATCACTGGCGTAGCTAGTTTTGATTGGGCCTGTATAAAAATTCTTTCGGGGCCCCTTTTTGGATATGAGAGCCTGTAGTGGGACTGTAGTTATGCATGTTGAGGCACCTGAAGCTTGGAGGCCCCTTTGATATATCATTGATACCGCAGTAGCTACGCCCTGGTTTACATAAAGGACACCTGTAAAATTTGTAAATAAAGCTTGATTTGTTTCTGAATTCTTTTATATATATATGTTCTTTTCTCCCGTACTCTCATCTTAGCTTTCTTACTATAGCGCTCCAAAACCTGGGAGGGAATTATGAATAAACCTGCATGTTATTTATAGATATTTGTAAATATTTGTTCTATTTTTTCGAAGATATTATTGGTGCTCAGGAAAGGGAAATAGGTCTTCCAAGTACAAAACGGGATGTTTTGCATAGCATTTCCTTTGGAGATAAAAGATGTATTTAACTTATTCTTATTAATGTTTATTTGTCCCCGATGATTTGACTTTTCTACTAAGAAAATCAAAGAAAACTACATAAAAATGTACCACATAAAATATTCCTATTGCACTAATTTTTTTGAATATATATTTCTCCTAATCATCACAATATTCTTTTTTTTTTATTTAATGAAATTAGTAAATAATAATAGATATTATGTAAATTATTACAAAATTCATTTAAAATTTATAATTATTTTAATTATTTATAATTATTCATTAAAATTTATAATTATTATAATAATTTTAAAGAATCTGCATTATTTTTAATACTGTTCAATTTATGTATTATATATGATTTTCATATTCTTAAGTATTTTAAAATCGGACTCATTTTAAATTTAAGAAAATTTCTGTTTTTTTAGAGCTTTTTAATTTTCTTCCTTTTTTTTTTAACTTGGAAAAAAATGATAAAAATTTCTCGAATCATATATTTATGATTATCAAAATACATTCACTAAAAAATGGTTGCCATAGAATAAATAATTAATATTTTTTTAAAAAAATTTCATGAAAAATATTATAACTTAAGAAAATAGCTGTGATCAAATTTTTGATCTAAAAACATATTTCACACACAAAATTTGAATAGAACTGAAAAAGGCATAACATTTAGTTCTCTCTATATTTGAAGCAATAAATA